GATGACGTAACTGAATAGTCATCACAATGATGAATCAAACCAATCGTCAGTCTCGTTCTAGATTTCATCGCATATGGTCGACTCAAGTGATATAAAAAAATAACTCGAATTATTCAAAAGTGAAAAATGTCAATTAATCTTCGGTTTGGTGAATGTATTCCATTTGAGTGTGTGAAAGTGGTATTTTTTCAAGATGGTGTGTGTTTTTGTATATGAATATAGAAGTATTCATCATATGGCTAGTATTTTGAGTCAGTAAATTTCGATATAACGATGAAAACATTTGGAATTTGCTCTCTATACCTATATATTCAGAGAAACTAGATGGACACTAATGCAACAAGTTACGAAACTATTGCCATTCTGCTCAGAGTTGAAACAAGTCATTTCAAATTTCGTATTCATTAAGGATGAATCAATACAATAGTTTATGGTTATATTCGGAATATGGCATTTTTGACTCTGTATTTCCCGACAGAAAATGTCTAATTCAACAGCTATCGATTGATCAAAAAATCATGAACTTCATATTGCATCATTTCCAAAGTAAGAACTGTTCATGAAATATGATGCACCCTTCAACGGTGACACTGTATATTAAATTTCTTTTCACCCCACCCCGTATACCTACTATCAATATCGGAATTTGTCGTACTCGCTCGGAAATTATTCTGTCAAAAGGATGACGTAACCAGTTAGTCATGATAGGATGGTGAATCAAAACAATCAGCAGTCTCGTTCTAGGTTCTGGTGTTAGGTGAAAGATTGTAACGAGATCGTTACCAATGTAGGAAGGTATGGGTTATATCAGAATCTCATTGCCAAAATTGGCAATCACAAAGATTGCCGTTTTCTCGACATTCTATTATTATTTGAAACATTTACATAGCAAAATTCATTTTTATCATCATCTGAAGTGGAAAGATGATGAATGATTCAGTTACTTGATAAGTCAGACAGGAAAGGATGAAGGTAAGTCAACGCAGTCAAAAGGAAACAAGTAGGAACCTCGGCTCGGTGACAGGTAGGGAAAGGAGTACGGGAAAAACCCCCGAAAGAAGCACTGAAGGTGTAGGGAAAGGACTAGTGTGCTTGCCCTAGAGTACATTGCCGGAGAAAGGGGTATGCCGACAGAACCGAAACAGACCGGAAAACAGGATGGGTGCAATCGATGAGACAATACAGTAGCAGGATAACAGGGCCAACTTCTCGACAACATTACGGAACCCAAGGTAGCAAGTACGGTAACCAGAAGGTAACAAATTACCTAAAAACACCAGAGCCGGCTACCGATAAATGTCTAGGAATTCTTTGAATCCATAGCTTTTTTTGGCAGTATAAGTTCAGGAAGGAGTACTAGACACATAGGGAAACAGGTAGACCCTTATCAGAAACTGAATCTGAATTCTAGTCGTAAGGTATAAAAATTATGAGTCCAGTGGATTAAATTTACTGAACTAACAGAATTTCACTAGCGCATTATATGAGCAATCACAAAATCAGTACGAATTCGTATTTCTCAAGTCAAAAAACCTGAAAATACAGACTTTTATGTTCCTGCTGCTGAAACTTACGAAGTTATTGAGAAAATTACAAAAAATCTTCCCCTTGAACACAGGGTGTTCATCTCCTAAACCAGTAAGATTTTTATAAGGCATTTGAGGCTAAATATTCATATTATCTGTAGTTCAGAGATTACCTATTCTTAATGAATCGCCCTGTATAGTATAAATCATATAATATAAACACTTGTGGTAACGAATTAAATATTTTTGTGGCAATGGTTATAAATATTTTATTGGCATCTCTTGGATGACTTCTACCTTGGTCAAAGGTTCATAAAGAGACAAGTTTTTGTATTGAATATTGAGTTCAATGACACAATAGTTAGTTAGTATTCAAATTCAAATATACCATTGTAGATCTCTGAGATGACATTATGGCTTATGACCACAGTCTAGCTAGGCTTCTATTATTATTACCTTCTCCAGGAATCCAGCAGTAAATGCGACTATGAAATATCTTTACTACCGCTACTTCACAATAACCATTCCAGAGGTACTAATTCTATTCATAAAATATGAATTATTTTCTCTTATTCGTTCTTCGTACCGCAATTTCAATTGTATGCAAGAATGCCAATCTAGCCTGTTAGAATTGTAACACGTCACGCTACAATTGTTTTTCGGCGAAGAAAATATCAAGATTAATTTGAATATTGTGGTTTAGTTGCACCTGGTAATGGATGCATATAAGGAATGCATTGATAGGTAATCAGCAAATAAAATAGAGTTCGTGTTCTACAACATACAGATAATAACAATCTCTGACCTGAATTGATATTCTAATACTTTCCATTTTTCTGAGAAATAGGCCTGAACAGCATATTCACATAGACTTCTCAAAGAGGTCTGTTCATTTGTGCTGATGAAAGTGCTTGGAACAAGTTGATCAATTCGAAAGACGTCATAAAATAATTCAAATTATTGCAACTTTGTTCCAGAGAAACCAATTCGAGAAAACAGATTGTGCGATGTTTTTCACCTCAGAAAAAAAATTATTCTAAACGGAAGGCTTTTGAAATTCTTGAATTTTTCAAGTTCCAAAACGGCAATTACGCAACTTTGCCATAATTTAACCGACCCTGTATCTCTTACGGTTTATGAGATCCCAATGATGAGGCTCGAAATCCAGCCACCCTGTATGAGAAACTTTCTTCACATCACAAAGACTCAACAGCATTTGAATATTTGTCTTGTGAATCGATTGATTCGTCCGAAACGAGATAGCAGACATAATAGGGGGGGGGGGATATAAACTTCGCAACACTAATTTCGTCGCATCTCGTACTTTTTTAAAACATGAGGTTCTTTATACAGGGTGTTTCATTACTAATTGAAAACATTTCAACCATAGAATCCCGAACTCAAAATATGAAGATTTAACCCAAATCACCTAGATAAAATATGTCTCCTGCCTGAGTTACAGGGTGTTTTATTCAAAAATTTTGAAATGTTTTTGCCCAGTTCTTCAAAACTATTTGACGTACCACTTTCATATTTGGAGGGAAGTGTGGGTATTATACATCCAACTGAATTATGTGAAATGAACTTTTCTAGCTATTACCAGAGGCGTACGACAGGGGCAAGTGACTGGTTGATCCTTTCCAAATTCTACGCCACTGGCGGAATTGCAATTTCATCAAAATTTTTCGGTGCTTCAATACCTTCTTCGTAAATATTGTACTGTTTCTTCATAGCGATAAAGTCATTGTTTTTCGAGATATTTCAAGTTAAACATGGAGCAGCATAATTATTCTGATTTTAATGTGTATCAATAATGTCGATATTTTGGATCAATGGAAGGCATTCATCAATCAAATGAAACTTCAATCCATATTAACATAAAAACATAACAGACGGAAGTTGTTACAGGGCGTTTTAAATTTTTTAATATATTACATAATTAAACACCCTGTAACAGCTCCTGTCTGTTATGTAATTATGTTTTTATTGTTAATATGGATTGAAGTTTGATTTTATTGATGAATACAATCCATTGATCCAAAATATTGACAAAATGATTGCACATTGAAATCAAAATGATTGTGCAGATTTATGTTTAGCTTGAAATATCTCGGAAAATAATAGCTTTATCGCCATGGAGAGAGAGTACAATATCTATGTCAAAATTGTTGGAGAATCGAAAATTTGTGATAGAATTGCAATTCCGCCAGTGGCGAAGGATTTGGGAGGGATCAACCAGTTAACTGCCCCTATCGTACGCCTCTGGTAATAGCTAGAAAAGTTCATTATACATAATTCAGTTGGGTCTATAATACCTACACTTCCCTCCAAATATGAAAGTGATACGTCAAATAGTTTTGAAGGAATGGGCAAAAAACATTTCAAAATTATTGAATAAAACACCTTGTAACTCAACAGGAGACATATTTTATCTAGGTGATTTGGGTTAAATCTTCATATTTTGAGTTTGGGATTCTATAGTTGGAATATTTCCAATTAGTAATGAAACACCCTGTATAAAATCGCTACAGGCTGTCACCTGAAACTGTGAAAAATTTCATAATTTCCAAAAGGATCCCAAATAAACAAAAACTTTTTCTTCAACTTCGACAGCAGAGGCTTCCTGTCTCTTTTATTCACAGAGTGATTCATAACTTTTTTCCTCGTCAATCGATTTTTGGAATCTCAGGCTCATTTTGAAGCTAGAACTTCAGATGGAGAGATATGAAGATCAGAATTGACTCAAGATGAACAATATACAGTGTGTCTCACTTCTAATGGAAGCACCCTTGTATATTTCATAATTGTTGAGTTAGGATTCTGAAATTTGCGAGAGCGGTAGATATACTGAAAATACACACTATGACCAAGTGGTGTCGTCTCCAGTGATATACACTGCTCGCCAACAGCCATGGAACCACTCACAAAAATGATATAAGGAGGCAAGATAGGTTGCTGTCAGCAGAGTGGTATACATGTAGTACCACTCTGTAGCGTATAGACGTAAGAGTCTGTACGTGTGACTATAGATGGCAGCGCCATAGAGTGTGTGTTGCGATCTCTTGATCCTACCTCAGAGCTTTGCCACTAGATGGCTACAACATGACTAGAACTTCATGTTATACCCTGCGTCTTCTAAAAAAGTTTTTCTTCATTTGGGATACTTAAATTACCGAAATATTGCACAGTTTCAGGTAACACCTTGTACTTTGTAGCGATTTCATGTGAAGAACTTTATGTTTTGAAGAACTACGAGATTATAGCTGAAGGACTTGGCTAGCGAACAGTGTGATCCGAATTCAAATCGTTCAAAGCAGAAAAAAGTTATTCATATTTCAACAGAGGCTAAATTTTGGGGTGCGACGAAATTATAGTGTTGCGTAGTTTAACTGAGGAATGAGGAGTCTGAAGGAACACCTCGAGGGTTGTGAATCGTTTGATTATATACTGATTAGAAGGGGTAGATGAACTTACCCTGCTGGATAGGCGATTAGTCCGTTATTATCACATGTTAAAGCTGCGTTGCTTGAAACTGTTACTCCTAGTACCCTCTCTAATTTGATCTGAAAACAAAAAACACAAGTCAGACATTTATTTAAGAACAGTTATTGGACCAATGCTGAAGCCTTTGGAAATGGTAAAAAGTTAAAAAATGTAGTAGGATGAAACCCATAATAAAAGGAAGAGAATATAACAAATATGAAAATAAAATAAATTACGGGCGATTTAAGGTCGAGAAGGGAAAGGGGGTGAGCTTTGAAGGGTGAAAACGGATTATCCCGATTACCGGCAAAACTACAAGTCCTATAAAAAAAAGTTGAAGGGTAAAGTTGTAGGTAATAAAGAGATCAATAACTTTTGTCTACACACTTTTTCCACGTAACCTCAAAATTTATGTGAAAAATTCAAATAACCATGTTTTCGGTTTTATGTTTTTTTTCACGAAATATTGTGATACATAATTTACTTCTTTAGGTCCCAAATACACTGTAATTTCTTTGATTTAAAGTATTAATTTTTATTACCTTATTTTTGCTTAATATATAAAAAGCACCCTAATTTTCAATCGAAAATTCTCGCGTCAAAATATCTGCTTTTTCAAAAAAGTTGATGCACCTTTTGTTTGTTGAAATGTGCAATACTTTCTGATGATGTAAAAAATATACAGGGTGTATTTTCATTGATGGCTGGAAATATAGGACATGATTCCTTAGGTCATTTTAAGAAGAAGAGCTTATATGAACCTCTCAACTTTCAAACTCGAAACTCTGTAAGTATGTCACTGAAAACTGTCAAACTAAAACAACAGAATTCTCGAAGAAGAGTATTTTGCATTTTTATGCTGAGAACGGGAGCAGATTCGTCCAAAGATAAGTAAAAATTCGATATTTTTTCAATTTATCTATTTCTTCTCTTCAAACATTTTTCCAAAGTGGAACTGACAAGCTATTAGATTTTCCTTTTATATAGGCTCCCTGATAGAAAAAAATTGTTAAACGCAGTGACATTTTGGGGCAAATCATCTTATTTGTCCTACTACACATATACAGGGTGTTCCTTAAAGACATGCTTATATTTCAGGGAGTGACTTATTTTAAGAAGAGAACTTTAGTCTTAACTTTTGAGATGCAGGGGATGAAGTTTTGAAAAATATTCAGTATTTTGATAATAACTAAGACAATAAATTATTGTTTGAATTTTACTCAAAAGTGAGCAACGACGAAAAATTTCCAAATTTCATACAATGCTATGAAAGGCTATCTAATTATGTACAAAAAAGATCCACCTGTTGATACTCGAAAGAACACTTCGTTTTCGAGAAAAAGCGGAAAAACGAGACCGGACTTTTCTGATGTTTGAGTACTCCATTCAGAACATCCATTACTGGATAACCACCGTATGTAACATTTTGTAATTCGTATACCGATTCAGTCACATAGTTGACTGAATTTTCCATCACGAAAAGTTATACAGGGTGGACAAAAAATTATCTATGCATATTTTCTACACTGACACCATGTATCTCAAAAGTAAGGACATTTACGACATATGTTCATAAGAAGTTTTATTCTTGAAATCGGTCGAAAAATCGGCCCCTTGAGTATTAACATATCATTAAGGAGCACCCTGTATTGAAATAATGTTCATATTTTTATTTTATAGAAACGAGGAGAGAGAATCACAAATAATCAAGTAGAATGAATGAGGCACTATGTTTCTACAATAGAACATGATTCTACTTGTTACTTCATTCCAACAAGAATACATTCTTTTATTGAAAGTTTTTGAATTATCATATTCTGGTATTTGAAAATCATGTTTTCCGTAGCACGAAACGATTTGTAAAATCGAATCACCCTTAGGCACTAAATTTCGTCATTTCGCTCTTTGTTATTACGTCCATTGAAATAGCATTTTCAGAATCTCGGACACATGTTGATAGGAACATTTGGTCTTATTTTCATCTGCATAATTACCTCCCGCAGTATACGAACGTCATTCTGGGACACCCTGTATAATAGGTATCATTCATCATTTATTTAACCAAGTCAATTTGAAATAGTGATCTTTCAGGTGAGGAATGTCAGGATATTAGATAGAATGATATTATACTTAACTATAAGTAGTTATGAACTTATTCGATGAACACTGGTTCGAAGGAAACTTTCCTCATTGCTTCATGCTATGTGACTTGATTAGCATCCCATTTTGGACCAGATCAATAGGAATTGTATAAAAGGCAACCGCGTCACAGCATTTTTATCTGAAGGTATCTATGATACCAAACAATGTGTACCTACTTTATATAGAATTCGGCCTTGCGCAAATTATTCAGTGTTGTCGTTTCAGAATTTCAATTTGTACTAGAAGTCATTCCGAAATTGTACTCAATTCGAGTATATTGTACTGAATTGAGAAAATAACACTAAAACTTCATATTCATTTATAAAAATTCAAAATAATAATATACAGCACATTAAAACACCTCTGAAAAACATAGGTCATGAAACAATATAATAAAAGCCAAAAATAAGAGATGAAAAGAAACAGATCGATCAGATTACAGATTGAGATCAAATACTATAAATTATCAATAAGATAAAATAGATGACTCAAACATCAAAGTCAAATCAATTCATCAATAACAGGACATTGTTTCTCCGTTGAATTGGAAATTATGGACTTTTTATCCATGAGGGCATCATTATAGGATTGCAATTATAACATATAATAGCTAGGGCCCCATGGGGCTGTCTGGTTCTTGGCTTTGTACTAGATTAGTGTTAATTGTATTGACGTACTAAATGTGTATGAAATGTACTAGAAAAGTACAATAGTACTAAAAACGGCATTGTCTCGGAATCATTTGAAATCAATTTGAATTCTTTATACATACCAATCAAAAATTTTATGGTATACAGTCTGTCCAAGATAAGGTTGAACAGCATGGGGATCTCGAAAACGGTAGGAGATACGAAGTTGGTTAAATGGGGAAAAAGTTGCGCATTCGGAGGAGGCTCATATCAAGAGCCTTCGAAAATTTTTGAAATTACTTTTAGTTTTTTAGTTATATCGAAAAGTGTATTTTTTGGAATATCTGTTTCATTTTTTTTCTCCGTTATTATTAGAGGTACAGAAAAACTGAAAATACTTTTTCATAGCAACTTTTGATGACGTTTAACGTGGTGATACCAATTTTTCTATGCGACGTTTCGTATTCGTAGAACCATCATCAACTTTTGTTTTTTAAATACGTTCCTGATAATTTTTTCACAGATTCTGAAAGTTTTTTTTTATTCTGAAGTCGACCATGTATTATACAAGGTGGTTTATGTCTGTTTCGACCTATTTTTAACCATCATCAATGTTTTTTCGAAATTCCAAAGGAGAAATGCCATCAGTTCCACTTATTTTGAAGGAAAATTAGTCAACACACTAATACCTTATCAACTGGTTTCAATCAACAACCCATTTCATTTTGCGAAAACAAAAATTCCATCCATACAAATTCAAAATATGTCAAGCGCTAAAACCAGGCGATGACGAAAGGCGCAGGACATTCTGTGAATGGTATACCAGAAAATGTCAAAATTCTGCAGATTTCCCGCGAACAATCATCTGGAATGATGAAAGCATGGTCACTAATCATGGTATCTTCGATAGAAAAAATACACATTATTGTTCACGAGAAAATGAACATTTATACATTACAGCGTGACACCAACACCGTTTCGGCTTTTATATGTGGGTTGCAATATTTGGTATACACGAATTATTGGTCCTTTTATTTACCATGAAACACATACTTCCTAACGTTATACAAATTTGCTTGTGAATCATCTTGAGGAAGCTCTGGATGATTTACCGATTGCGGAAGTTCAGAACTGTTGGTGCCAACAAGATGGCGCTCCGGTATATAATTCCAGAGAAGTTCTTGCGTTTTTATCCAGAAAAATAGATTGGTACTCATTCTGCAGTCCCTTGGCCGGCGCGGTCACCTAATTTGACACAGCTGGATTTTTTTTAGGGGATATATCAAAAACTTTGCACACGCAAATAGCTTTGATGATGAAGAAGAACTATAAGGGACAGTGTCATCGAAGCATTCAATAGAATAGCCCCAGAAATGCTTAGTAATGTCTTAGAACCAACTGTGAGAAGAGGATATATTTGTTCAGAAAATAATGGTTATCACTTTTCAGTATTGAATTACTAATCCATCAATGTTTGACACTAAATGATCAGAAATAAATGGAACTGATGGCACTCTTTGATAAAAACGGAGAAAAAAAAATAGATATTCCAAAAATTCACTTTTTTCGATATAACTGAAAAACTAAAAATAATTTTAAAAATTTTCGAAGGCCCTCGATATGAGCCTCCGAATGCGCAACTTTTTCCTCATTTAACCGACTTCGTATCTCCTACCGTTTTCGAGATCACCATGCTCAACCTTATCTGTGTATATGAATCAGATGATTCGGGATATGCGATGCTTGTAAAAATTCTATAATATCTGTACACTTCCTGTTTCCTATAAACAGTGCTCGACACACTATAAGTGCAACACTAATTCTACTCTTATTCGCCGACCTGTATTTTCTGAAGGAATTGATAGTTTACATGTCTTTTTCTAGTTGCGAAACCCTGTATAAAAACATAGAGTTCATTCATTACAGTGTATAATAGACGTTAATGGATACAATTGTATAGAAGTTGTGGTAGTGTTGTAATTGAAAACATTACAGGAACACTGAAATAGGAAATAAATTGGTAGACTATTATCTGATAAAATCTTTTAGGAAACGCACAGAGAAAGCTATATTACCTTTATTATTTGTGGGTTTCTAATCGTTATTGAAAACGAGTATACCGATGTAATATTCCATGAAAAGTTGTATCACTTACCAAATTTGGTTATTACAAAAATAGCTACGGCCATTCCATAACTGCATATTATATAGGGTGCCTCTGTTTACTCTTAGCATTTTGTACAGACTTTTTAGAGAGGTGTGCCAAAAAATTTGATATGGTGAATTGAAGATTCGTATAGCATATTGCA